AATATATTCATGGCTTTATTTTTGCCATACCACCGCTTTTAGGGGCAAAAACCCACAAGCAACATGTGACAGATAATGCTCAGGGCAGGAGTTATGCTTTACCTTGCAGACAGGAGTTTACTTGACTTCTTTTTCTTTTTGACCTGCTCACTCGGTGCGTCGCTTTGGTCCTCTGCATCCAGACCATCTTCCTTTTCACACTCATTCAAATCATCCTCGCTCAGGTTGTCATCTGACCAACAAAAGCAAACAAACTAAAAATCAGAGGCGAGTCAGATCTGACTCAAGATCAAGCCATGGGTCGACAATGCTGTGCTGCTGCTCATTTGCTCACGCATAAAGAGCGATTAGATGTAATGTAAGTAATCGAAAGAAAGGCGGTTCACTTGTGTAGCAGCTCAAACCAATATTATTGGATCATATTGGATCATATTGGATCAGTACTTCTTATTACTTCTCAAACCCCTGTCACGCTGCTCACCCGCTTTTTAAAGCAAACAAAAAGCTCCAGATATTGGGACAGACTATTTCCCTCAGCTGTAGCCCTGCCCAACAATACACACTTAATATTAAGACAAACCAAAGCACTACTGAAATACTATGCTTATCTTCACAGCTGTGCAAATTCTCTCAGACTGTATGATACAGTGCTCATAATTTCACACACACAGTTATATTTGGACATACTGACATGTTCAGAACTGACACTACAGAACTGTGGTATTCTGTACACAGTGCTCATCTTTATTTTGGCACTGCAGAGTTGTATATACTCACGAGAGCTCATTACAAAGAAAAACAGTAGTTGTATATATACACCGATCAGCTATAACATTAAAACCACTGACAGGTGAAGTGAATAACATTGAGCATCTCGTTACAATGGCAAGCAGTGGGATATATTAGGCAGCAAGTGAGCAATCAGTTCTTGAAATCGATGTGCTGAAAGCAGTAAAAGTGGGCAAGTGTAAGGATCTGAGCCAAATTGTGATCATCTCCAAAACAGCACGTCTTGTGGGGTGTTCCTAGGATGCAGTGGTTAGTACCTTCCAAAAGTGATCCAAGGAAGGACAACCAGTGAACTAGCGACAGGGTCATGGACGCCCAAGGCGGAGGAGCGAAGGCTAGCCTGTCTAGTCCAATCCCACAGAACAGCTACTGTAGCAAAAACTGCTGAAAAAGTTAAAGCTGGCTATGATAGAAAGGTGTCAGAACACACAGGGCATCGCAGCTTGCTGCGTATAGGGCTGTGTCACAGCAGACCGGTCAGAGTGTCCATGCTGACCCCTGTCTACCGCCGAAATCGCCTACAATGGGCACGTGAGCATCAGAACTGGACCACGGAGCAACGGAAGAAGGTGACCTGGTCTGACGAATCCCGTTTTCTTTTACATCATGTGGAAGGCCGGGTGTGTGTGCGTCGCTTACCTAGGGAAGACATGGCACCAGGGTGCACTATAGGAAGAAGGCAAGCCGGCGGAGGCAGTGTGATGCTCTGCTAGGAAAACTTGGGTCCTGGCATTCATGTGGATGTTACTTTGACACATTCATACAGTCAGTCAATCTGCACGATGCAGATACAGGACAAAAGCTTCAGTTATTATTCATATCACACATCAGCATGTGATCTCAGTGACTTTGACCGTGGCATGGTTGTTGATGCCAGATGGGCTGCGTTGAGTATTTCAGAAGCTGCTGATCTTGTGGGATTTTCATGTACAACACTCTGTAGAGTTTACACAGAATGGTGTGAGGGGGAAAAAAATACATTCAGTGAGCGGCAGTTCTGCAGGAATCTGTTGATTACAGGTCAGAGGAGAATGACCAGACTTGGTTCTTGCTGGCATGAAGGCTACAGTAACTCAAATAATCACTCTTTACAACCGTGGTGAGCAGAAAAGCATCTCAGCATGCACAAAACATTGAACCTTGAGGTGGATGAGCAGAAAACCACATCAGGATTCACTCCTGCCAGCCAGGAAGAGGAATGTGAGACTACAGTGAGCACAGTTTCACCTAAACTACACAGCTGAAGAATGGAAAATGTATCTACTAGGGAATACACACACCAAGAGCAGACACGTTTATTAAAGACGCGTAGATAACCTGTAGATACAGCTAAATAACGTTAGCTCGCAAGCTAAACATATGATAGCTAACAAAAACAAAGCTCTCACCAGAGGGAACATAGTCTTCATCTTCATTTGAGGAATAATCCTCCGAGTCGTAGTCCGAATAATTCATCATTTTCTTCTACAGCTATTCGCCCTGGCAGTAAAATCAGACAACTAAAGGGAACAATAAATTAAACTTAAAAAAAAACAAACACCTGCTGTATTGCTAGATAGAAAATGCGCACTGAAGAAGGGGTGTGTAAGGTTTGTGGAACAGCCTCCAGACCACACAGAGCCGGCGCCAAAACTTTCACAAGCGACAGCAAGAATGGCGACTAGAAGGAAGTGCAGGACTTCTTCTTCTTCGGCTTCATGGCGCTTGGCCACAGATGTTATGGTGCATTAGCGCCACCCACTGGGCTGGAGGGCGCGGTACATTACTGACGCCTAAACTCAGTGTGTGGCAGGGTGGAAAAACTTAATCTAGTCATGGAACAACAACAGTGACACCAAATATTTCAAGAATTATAACTTTACAATGGGAAATGAGTTATCACTTTGATTAGCAGCATCATCCGCATAAGTCTCAGTCTCATCGCTTGTGGTAAAAGTCACTTGTGAAAAGCACACACTAGTTAGCACACTTTTAGGCCAACTGACTACATATACTGCTGGGTTTGTTACAGTGGCTCGTTACTCTGTGTCAGGGGTCCAGCCATCCATCCATCCATCCATTTTCTGTACTGCTTATCCTACACAGGGTTGCGGGAAGCCTTACACAATGCTCCTGTGTGGCTGCAGGCTTTCATTACAGCCTAATTGTAGGCACACTTGATAGTTGATTGGAGAGTAAGACAAGCTGAAATCAGTCGTGGCCCCTGCTTGGTTGGAAGGAAAGCCTGCAGCCATACCAGCCCTTTGCGGATAAGACTGAAGACCCCTGCTGTATGTCATAGGTTCCCAACCCTGATCCTGGAGTTCCCACTGGAGTCCTGCACATGTTAGTGTTTACTCTGCTCCCAACATAACTGATTCATCTAATCAGCTAATAAGAGCCCTTGCAGAGTTGTAGTGGGTGAGTTAGAGCAGGGAAATCACTCAAATTGTGCAGGACAGAGGGTACTCCAGGACGAGGGCTGGGAACTTGTGCCCTACATTCACATTAGCAAGCAACAATAAGTCACTTGTGTCATTTATATTTTGTCTCTCGTGTGCATGTAGTGACCACTTAAATAGGAACTAACTGTAGGTAGGAACTAAAGCTGTGAGTGCAGAACTGAAGAAACGTCAGACTACAGGCACCATAGGATTGGTCCGAGAAATCATTCAAGCCAGTTGTTTCAATTTGTCGCTTTAGTGCTTCATACCTAAAAATGGTGGGAAAATCTCTATTCAAGTCTCGCATTGTCACTTCTGGCTGTCACTGAAATCACTGCTCTACTGTGTTATGCATGTACATACAAAATGAACGGTAGACTGTCACTTACTAGTGTGAATGTACCCAACATCATCTTGGAGGTTAGTAAATGGTATGTAGGAGGTTAAGTAAAATATGTTTCCTTAAAGTAGAGATGCCAACGTACAGTATGTTAGTGGTGGAAAAACTAAATTTTGGGCAAATTAATTTTTGTTTGTTCAGTTGCATTGACGTCTAGCATACTGTACACGGAGACAATACTGACTACTGAGCACCTTGAAACAACTGTAAACAATTACCTAGCAACCTAAAACCACAAAATACGAAGTATTAAATGCAATTATCTGTATTACATACAACCATAACAAGTAACTTTCGAATACCTGTAAATTACATTTTATATATATATATATATATATATATATATATATATATATATATATATATATATATATATATATATATATACACTCGCCATCCACTTTATTAGGAACATCTATACACCTGCTCATTTATGCAGTTATCCAATCAGCCAATCATGTGGCAGTAGTACAATGCATCAAATCATGCAGATATAAGTCAAGAACTTCAGTTAATGTTCACATCAAACATCAGAATGAAGAAAAAGTGTGATCTCTGTGACTTTTATCATGGCATGGATGTTGGTGAGAGAAGGGCTGGTTTGAGAATTTCATAAACTGCTGATCTCCTGCGATTTTTACACATAACAGTCTCTAGAGTTTACACAAAATGGTGCGAAAAACAAAAAAACATTGAGTGAGCAACAGTTCTGTGAGTGCCTTGTTGATAAGAGAGGTCAGAGGAAAATGGCCAGATTGGTTCAAGCTACCAGGAAGGATATAGAAACACTCTTTACAACCGTGGTGATCAGAAAAGCATCTCACCTTGATACAAAACATGGACCTTGTGCACTGCGCTGCTGCCACATGATTGACTGATTGGATAACTGCATAAATAAGCAGGTATACAGGTGAGTGTAGTTTCAGAATCCATCCTGAGCAGTAAGCAGTATGCACTGGTTGTATGCTAGATTTATGGTGTATTGTGGCTAATAATATAGTGCACTATCCAGGGAATATAACTTGTCCACTGAGACCTGGGACAACAACATGGCTGCATCGCAAATGATTGTGATTCATCCAAAAAAAGGGTTCAGTGGGGTTGAGGTTGGGGTTCTGTGCAGGCCACTCGAGTTCTTCCACTCCAGCCTTGAGAAACCATGTCTTCATGGAGCTTGCTTTGTGCACAGGGAGTCCCTTAGTTCCAGCGAAGGGAATCTTAATGCTACAGAATACAAAGACATCCTTTACAGCTGTGTGCTTCCAACTTCGTGGCAACAATTTGAGGAAGTTCCACATATGGGCGTGATGGCCAGGGGTCCCCAAACTTTGGCCATATAGTGTATTTTTCATTATATTCTGTAAGATACAGTTACACAGGGTGAAGAGTCCCTGGAGGACTAGTGGTTAGGCCACAGTGCTCTCACTGCCCCAGCCCGGGTTAGATTCCTGGCCAGGGAACCCACTCCAGCCACTGGGGTTACACATGACAGTGTGTTCTCAGTGCCGGTCCCCTCCCCCAGATAAAACTGGGGAGGGTTGCATCAGGAAGGGCATCCAGCGTAAAAACTGTGCCAAATCAAATACGTGGACCAATGATCCACTGTAGCGACTGTAACGGGGGCAGCTGAAAGAACACCAACATTTATACAGGGTGTCCCAAAAGTCTCCATACAGAGGGGACTATGTTTGCCAGCACCATCTCGGTTGTGCCTTGTTCAGTGGATGCTTGTGGACATCCACTTCTCAGTTCATCCGCAACACTTCCAGTCTTTTGGAATTTGTTAATATGTTTGGCAACAGTGTCGTGTGTGATGTGCTTGTGATGTGCCATCTCAACCTTGTGACAGCTTCCTGATCCAACCATGAGAATGATTTCAATACCTTCTTCTTTTGTCAAAGGCATTCTTAAAGTCTGTCTGAAAAAAAAATTAAAATAAATATATATATATATATATATATATATATATATATATATATATATATATATATATATATATATATATATATATATATATATATAAACCAAGTATGAAAAATTTTGGAAGACATTTTGCTAAAAAGTGTTAATTTCCCTCATGTATGGAGACTTTTGGGACACCCTGTAGATCTTAATTATCCAGCGATAATCACTGTTCCATGTCTGTAATAAACAATACTCCAGTGTTGCAGGCCTGCAGCAGTGATCACACAGTCCTGTTGGGTGCTTTTTAATCTTAGTTAATCTTTTCCAAGTCCAGATCTGTCCTATAGGGAGCCATCCCATCTGCTTCCTCTTCTTTTACAGATCAACATTCGTCCACTTCCTGTGCACGCGCAAAGGGACAAAATGGCTCTTATCTGGTTCATGTAAACACAATAGCAACACTCTGCTGTTTTGTATACGTTACAGTCTCTTCACCTGTACTTTTCGACGGCATTCAATGTGCATTGTATGGAATGTATACTCTGCCGCTGTTTTAAGTGGTATGAACGTCACGCTTGTGACGACACGCACAGGTCACGCGGGTGAAGGGGCGGTGTGACGTCAGCGGTGGTGTTTGGGAAGCAGGAGGTAGCGCTGGGTTTAGCTAATGGGCTTAGCTCGCCTGCTAACGCTGTATGCTGGAAACGCATTCCGCTCCGGTTTCTAATGGTGTTATTTAGACGTTGGAGTTATTTGACTTATGGTCGCAGTGTCCATTCTGTGAGAAATGCAGGGCGACTATAATTTACCCGAAATAGGATTTGTGCAACAAATTCTGAGTTTGAATTTGGTCCCAAGGAAAAATGCTACCTGTGGGAGGAACGACACGTCCCTGTGCGACTTCTCAGGCAAGAACCGCGTTTATTCTGCCATGTTTACCTCGATACAGAGCACTGTTTACACTGATTAAGAGTACCAGATTAGCTTGTGAGGATGGTTTGCTAGCTTAGCTAACCTGGCTAGCCGTGTTCTAACTAGCAAGCTAGCCGTGGTTGAACTAGCAAGCTAGCCGTAGTTAGTTGATGGCTAACCCGAGCATTTGAAATATTTGCTGAATTAGAGAGGTGAGCAAGTTTCTTTTTCCCTGGTTGTGTAGCTCTTCCTGAGCTGAAGTGGGTGTGTATGAGGGAGGAAACACTGAAATGTGCAGGACAGGGAGCACTCCATGTCCAGGGCTCTGATGTAACATTAGAGATTGTCTAAGCCTAGTTAAAAGAATAAAGACATGATCATGCATTTAACAATAACACAAACCCCAGCTGGGGTCAAGTCAAATGGCTTTATTGTCATTGCAGCCACATACAGCTAGTTAGTACACAGTGAAACGAAACAACGTTCCTCCAGGACCGAGGTGCTACATAAAACACACACAGAACTGCAAGAGACTATATATATTTACATAAAGTGCACAGTGTAAGCATGTGTAGACAACACAAGACAAGTACAAAACCAGCAAAACAAGACAATGGGCACAGGAAGTTAAAGTGCAGCGCAGACTAGTACACAGTTCTAGCAGAAAGTGAATCAGATATGACAGTAGTGCAAAAGTGTGTTAACTAGTGAGGGAGAATATCTACTCATCTACATGATCTAATGTTTAATGTTCCTCTTCATAAACACAGACATTTTGTTCTAGTGACATACTTCACTATGCTGGTGAAGAGCCTCATATCTGAAAAGTATTGAATTTTGCATTTACAGATCAGCAGTAGCTATTTCAAATTTACATTACAGAAATTCCGAGCCAATTAGAAGTAAAATTATGAAAAATGACCAAACACAGACCGAGCCTTATTATTCTGTAAGCTCATTTACTGCTAAGCTTCTAGCTGGCTCTTAATCTCATTAAATAACATAATAAGTAGTAATAACCTCAGCAAAGAAAGACGTTATAATCATACATGCTTTTCCGTAAGTTCTAATTTTCTGTTCTCCAAGCTTTGAAATATAAATTCACTTTTAAAAGTCACTTTCTTTTGTTCCTAAATGAGCTATTTTAGCATGGAATTTCACTGTGAATCATTTAACAGTACTAATATATTTTAACAAATACATGTTTCTGTGCAAGCACGCAAACTTGCTTTAAGACGAACACACACTACTGTGCAAACATTACATTCACACTACAAAGAGACACGGGAAGCACTTAAGACAAAATGTGCACCACAGTGCAGAGAAAAACAATAAGTCTTAGTCGAGAATACACATTGCAGTATGCAAGTGCATCTGATACGTGCTATACACATTTTGTATATCACTTGACAAGATTTAGCGGTTGGAACGAATGAAATGGTTGAACTATCCAAATGATAGAACCTTGTAAAAAAAGGTTAGATGTGAGACTGCCGACTGACACAAGACTGCTCTTTTGGTGTATTTCTGAGTGCTAACTTGTACTAGCGTACTCTGATGTCTTAAATTGCAGAGCACACAAAATGCATAAAGGTTGTCAGTCCTGGTAATATAATATAATCGAAATAAACTGGACATCATGGCTAGAACCTTATAATACTGAGATCATGATTTGGAATAAGGGTGTAATAATTTACATCATCCGTATATACATGGTGTTATTAAAACAGCACGACCCTTTGCAAACAGACATCAACCTGAATCCCCCCTGCCCCAGATCGGCGTGTAATTCAGTGTAATGCATAAGTGCAGCTTTTACAAGGATGCATCAATATGTGGCAAAACAGCAACGTGAACTGATTTCTAAAAACGTCCTGAAAAAGAGCTTAACTAACCAAACAGAAAAACTGACTGTTCTTATTTTTAAAGTGCAGCTGCTTTGTTAAGGGATTGATAGCATTCCATATTTTTATTTCATTTCTATAATATTGATATCTATGCTCTGAATATGGGCTGATACCTGATACTTTTCAACAGTTGCAAAAGATGTTTAGAAAATGTTGCTGTGAGGCACCCAGTTTGCCAGTATTTTATTTTAGATGATGATGTGCTCAAGCTGGGACGTAATCCTCTCACCTAACCTACTTGAATTTGCATAATTGTCAGTCACCACCACAGGTGCTTAGAGCATGTATAAGCGTAAATCAATGAATAGGATCAGTAATTATGCCAAGTGGTTATTAGATGCTGCCAAAGTCCTCTACATTACCCTTTAAATGGCGAATTAGTTGCCTTTATCATCTGCTTATTACATAATGACTTTTTTTTTTTTCCTTTTCCCCACGTTCTCAGAGATGTGGTACGGCGTGTTCCTGTGGGCTGGAGTGTCCTCGCTGGTGTTCCACCTTCCCGCAGCTTTGCTGGCCCTCGCCACTCTCCGGGGACATAAGATAGCACGCTTCTTTCCCCTCGCCATCATGCTCATGGCCATTATAGGTCCTCTGTTGGGAGGCGTGCTCACTAGTATGTACCTCACCCTATCATAAAATACCACTCGGATGAAAACCAAGAGCTCCAGTTTGGTCAATGGACACAATTTAATAAAGTTGTGCGTAAATGTTTTTTGTGCCTAAAATCTCCATCAGATTTACACACGTTTCAGTAATGCTGATTTTCTTCTTACTCATGGGCACATATTGATCAATGTCCACCACCTGTAAATGACCAAGCACGTTCATGGCACAACTGATTTGCATGTAGTGACTCTCACAGAACTTAAAAGGCAAAGCCTTACAGAGAGCTGAAAATTACTAAATGACAACTAAATGGTGACGGACTCTAACACACTAACTCTTCTTCCTTTTATACAGTAACTATGTCTTAAGTGAACGGATAGTTTTGCAGTGACTCATGCCAAGTATAGGATTTGAAGATGAGGTTTACATCAGCGAGCGTCCTTATATGCAAGTTTACGCAAGCTTAAGAGCTCTCATAGGATATGAATGTTCTTCCGAACTGTTTCTTCATGCATACTACTTTGTGTGTGTGTGTGTGTGTGTGTGTGTGTGTAAACGCTCCTGCAAGCAATTTATGAGTAAATTAGTTTGTGTCCAGGTTGATGAATGAGGCACACTGACCGTTTTATTTTGGGTGTAGCACTTGTTACATTGTGTGATGAAAGTTTCTTGTGGCTTGTTCCAGGTGCAGCCATAGCGGGGGTCTATATGGCAGCGGGGAAGAGGATGATCTCGTTGGAGGCTTTTGTGTTTGGAGTAGGACAGTCTTTCTGCATTCTTGTCATCTCTTTCCTCAGAGTGTTGGCCACGCTGTAGCACTGAGCCACTGAGGACAGTGAGAGCTGTGGACTTTGCTTCACTTCCCCTGGATGTTATATGCAAAAACACTGAGGCCTTATTTTCCACGCGTGTCTCCACAACTCTTATTTTCGTGCGCACATATCAGCGCTGTTTTCCCGTAAAAGGTTTCGGGTGGACATTCTTTCTCCGCGATCAGTGGGACAGACGTCCACTGGACCGGCTGTTTTTTGAAATCCGAGCCGCCTTTGGTACACACGTTCTACGGAAATGTCTTGCGCATGAGCTTACTTATAAAGCATGCAGTCAAACATCACAGGAGAAAGCTG